ACCGAGGACGCTCAGAGGACTTTTCTCCCCCTGGGGGTTTGCAGCCAACTGGCCGAGAAACCCAGGATGGAATGTCTTCCCACCCAGGCTTCCGATCTCTGCCCAAAGCAACTGATGGTGTCTTTATCTCCCCTCATAGGGTGTCTTCAAGTCAAGAAACCTTTATCTATCTATCTATCTATCTATCTATTTATTTATTTAGGGGCAAGATCTCCCTATGTAGTCCAGGCTGCCTTGAACTCACTGTGTAGCCCAGGCTGGCCTTGAACTTGAAGCAATCTGCCTGCCTCAGCCTCCTGAGTCCTGGGATTACAGGTGTGTACTGCCGTGTCTGGCAGAAAACCTTTATTTATTTATTTATTTATTTATTTTTGTTTTTGTTTTTTGGGGGTTTTTTTGGAGTCAGGGTCTTGCTGTGATTCAGGCTGGCCTTGAACTCACTGTGTAGTCCAAACTGGCCAAGAATTTATAGCGATCTTCCTGCTTCAGCTTCTCAAGGGCTGAGATTACAGGCATGCACCACTATGCCCAGTAAGAAACATTATTAAAACCTATTCGAATTAAAACCTATTTGAGGCCAGGCCTGGTGGTACATACCAGTAATCCCAGCATTCTGGGACGATCACAAGTTTGTGCCTAGCTTGGGCAACTTTTTCCTTTTTTTTCTTTCTTTCTTTTTTTTTTTTTTTTGAGACAGGGTCTCATCATGTAGTTCAGGCTGGCCTCATATTTACTGTGATCCTCCTGCCTCAACCTCCCATGTGCTGGGATTATAGGTGTGTACCACCTCTACAGGCTTGCTTGGGTAATTTAGCAAATTAGTAAAACTTTGTCTCAAAACATACATACATACATCATACACAGGGGGCTAGGGAAGCGTGAAGGCCCAGCACTGGGGAAAACAAAAACCAAAAACCCCTGTGAACTATGAGAGCTGAATATGGGGATATGTGCCTCCGTAATCCTAGTGCTTGGGAGGCTGAGGCAGGAGGACCTCTGTGAGTTTGAGACCAGCCTGAGAGACACAGTGAGTTCAAGGCCAGCCTGGACTACACATTGGACCCGGTCTCAAAAACAAAGTAAAACAAAACACCAATAACAAACAAAACAAAACAACCCAAGATAAAGACAGCTTTTGACCCCAGGCAGGTCACAGGGGAGCTAGCGGATGGAGGAGTGCTCAGGGCCGTTGTTTGCATGTGTTCACCTTTGCCATGACAGGGAGAATCACACGGTCCTCTGAGCCCTCAGGCAGGGGCATTGTGGGAAACCAGCAGTGCCCCTGCCATCTTGGAAATCCAGGCCAAGGTCTCATCCTGCCTGAAGGATTCCGATGGCCTCTCCCTGCCCTTCAGCAGGAGGTGGCCCAAGGGTCTTCACAAGTGGGCGGAGCAGCTTCCCCTTGAGCTGCCCTTGTTCCCCGCCCTCACCCCAACCCTCCGGCCTATGCATGCTGTTTGCTGGCGAACTCGAGCAGAGCAGACTCAGCCTCCCCGCTGACTGCAGAGCCCGGGTCGGCTCAAAGCTAGCAGGTGCTCAGTGCATGTCCCCCGGCTGGCCAGTGCGAACGGTCTTAGGTCATACCGGGTCTCGGGAGACGTTCCCCCAAAAGTCACCCGGGCTCCTGCCTGCCGGACCCCCGCTGCCTCCTTGCTAGCGCCCGCTCCCTGCGTCAGTCCTGGGTGAAGAGCACTTCTGTACCGGGCATCGCGCCCTGCGCCGGGGAAATCGCGCCAAGCCCCCGCTCGTCTCCCGCTGCACACCTTGGCCTTACGCACCCGCTGCCAGCACACACGCTGCGCAGGGCCTGGCTGCCGCTTTGTCTCCCCTTCCACGGGCCCCGCATCCCGGCCTCCGCGTGGCTGCAGACCCGCGCGAGGTCTCTGGCCTCTGCCCTCGGCCCATCCTCCCACCCCACGGAGACAGGTCCCCGCCCGGCTGAGCGCAGAGTCCCTCTCTGCGCTGCATGCGGAGGAGCCCTGAGCCTTCCCTTCCACCTCGGCCTGGGGTCCCCGCCCGAGGGCGTCCCGCGGAGCCCCCCAGCTGGGCCGGCCCGGGCGCCCCGGCCCCTCTGCGCGGCCTGCGCCGGGAGCTGCCAGCTTTTTGGAATTCCTAATCGCTCCTGGCCCCGGTGATTGGCTGTTCAGCTGTGACCCCACTTGGGCTGCCGCCTGGTTGGATAAAAGGGGAATCTCCTCGGGGCTCCAGAGCATTAGACACCGGAGGGGGCACCTGGGACCGACTTCCCGAGGCGGGAGCCCGCGGGGTGGGGCAGCGCAGCCGGGGCTCAGCCCCTGCAGACCCGGCGATGACGGGGAAAGCCGGGGAGGCGCTGAGCAAGCCCAAGTCCGAGGCCGCGGCCAAGGGCGCCTCGGGGGGCGCGCCGGCCAGGTGCACGGGCTTCGGCATCCAGGAGATCCTGGGCCTGAACAAGGAGCCGCCCAGCTCGCACCCGCGCGCCGCCCTCGACGGCCTGGGCCCCGGG